TCGACAGTGGCATGATTGGCAAATGTTATAAAAAATGTGGGTTTTGACAGCTCTCTCTCGATTCAAAGAGTCTCGCATCATTTCATCCTTGGCAGTGAATTCCAGCAGAAACGGCAATAATTCCGTGTTGGTCGCGTATAAGTGTAATTTGTATATCTAAATTTTCAATTTTGGTGACACAAAGTACATTTCACAAATTTTACTATAAATTGATTTAAATGACCATTTAATCAGTTTTAACAATAATTTGTATAAAATAACAAAAATTGATTTTGTGTTGCAGGTGAGATTTTTATTTTGTGGTTGAAGGGCGAATAATGTGTTGAAATACATTTATTATTGCACTGAGATTCGTCTTTGATGTATTTGAAGTTTTTATTTTCGGTAATTCCGGGATACATATAATACTAAATTTTAAGTGTCCCGTAATTTTCCTAGATCCAGCGTTGTTTTTAATGACAAATGCGATGTAATGCAGACGTTATTTGTGCTCTTTAGATATTTTTAACATTATAAAAAATTACACAAATAACCGAATATATACATGCAAGTACGTTTTTTTTTTTGGTGAAAATGCGTTCAAATTTTGTTTTTTTTTATTATATACACCCGCCCCACTGAGCACCTTATAAATATACATACGTTTCTACTTATATATATAAATGTATGTATAACAGAGCTTGTCTACAAGCCTACTTCTACGTACAGGTGGGTGTATAAAGAACGTAAGAATACGTTGCTTTGTTTATTCGCAAATACATATGTACTCGTATGTACACAGTGCGTGTCTTAATAATTTCTAAATCACTCTACAAAACTTAAACGAAATACAGTTTATAAGTTCTGCAAATATTATGCATTTCAGCCGGTTTAGTTTTCTTTCAGTGATCAGAATTCTAGTACATAGCAAACAATTTAGCTGGGTTACCTACACTTTCGAAGTGATTTTCAATCATACGTTACTCGCTCTTCAGAGTCACTTGTTATTTAATATATATTTAGTAGTATTGGTCATCAACACTAGTTTGATACAGAGAGCTTTGTGTTATATGTTTCTCATTGACATACTCGTTTGATGGGTTGTTATGTACATACCCACGTTTGTCTGTTAAAAATTGTAATCAACTGAATTTAAGTTTGATTTTTTGATGTACATGTGTCAGACTACGCGTAGTTTGCTAGTCAATATGTGTGTGTCTTAACGAACTTTTGTGAGTATGTGCGTTTATAGGTATCTTAATATTTGCAAATTTGTTTGACGTGCTCATAAAAGTGGTGGTTAAATATAAAGATAACTAAGTGTATAATCGTTATATTAACACTGTTGAGAAGTAGCTTTTACTATTTTATTACAAATTGGCTTTCAATAGTTATACATGCGCTCATGTTTATGCAAACAAAAGTAAACTACGTGTAACTCACTAACTTAATAGTGATTGTTGTAGGCCGGTTGTTCATATTTACCTGTGAATGTATGTATGTATGTCGCAAAACTGGAAAGTGCCAGGGTCGTTTGTTACTGGCAGTGTTGTCGTTATACTCTGCACGATATTCGTGCGTATCCAAATATATAATTTATATACCATACATATGAATACATGTGCACTTATCATTCAGTTGAAATATCATTGTGACTTCTTAAAAGTGGTTCAGTTTATTTTAAACCTATCCGGGGTCGTGAACATTATTACATATTAATTGGAATGTTTTTCTTTTTGTTATACGTATTTAGTTTATCAATATCACCTGGAATTTTGATTTTGATAAAAGTATGAAAGACCATTTACAATAAAATTGTAAAGTGCGAATGTTGTGCCTTGGCTAACATTATTAGGAAAGTTGGCAACACTATTGTCAGAAAAGTAGAAAGTAAAACAATACTTTGGCCTAAAAAGGAAAATATCGGGTTAACTAACAATGACAACTGCAAATATTGCAAACATATTTTAGGGCCGTATTCTCAATGTCTGGTTAGCAATCAAGACTCCTTTCGGTTGAGTTAACCAAAAGTTAAGTGACAAATGGTTGCTATATAACTTTAAAGTTCCCAATGACATATTGATTTGTATTTTGTCTCCTTTTCCGTTATTCCAATTGACTGATAAGTGTGCATTAATGACCATACTTTAATATCAAATACAATACAATTGGACACCTCAACGGGCAAACGATGTTCACATGTATTTGTATAGTAGCAAAGCTGAGTGTTTGTTCCGCCTTGAGTTGTGCGCAATAGTTGGTCGTGAATAGTCGCAAGTACAGTTTTTGCATGCGGCTGTAGAGAATGAACACGAACTAAACAAAACAAAGTGAACAAATGAATGAGCAAATCGCAAACCAAAAATCCGTGCCAATTACATTTGATATGGTAGATACAGTAGAAAAACATACGAATTGGATTGAAGGGAAACGCTTTAATAAATGTCTATACAAAGGGGAATTATCCTTAAAAGGCCACAAGAGAATTGACAAAAACAAATGCGAAAACCCATATAAAAACGAAGAGTAAACAAAATGTCAATGAGCGCGTATGAAAACAGAGCGCAGAGCGTGACTGCGAGAATATAAATATTACATACATAGTTGTAAGGTAAATATTTTGAAGGCAATAGATACAAATGTATATACTCGTACTAAGAGGAAAGAATATAAACAGAAATAGTAACCGACTTATCAATAGCTTCCTTCCAAGATAACCGGGTTTGCTGTTATGGGTATTGTAATTGTCAACGCTGAAAACATGGCGAAAATAATTTTAAAAAATTCTACATAGTTAGTCTTTGGTCTGACATATGTAAATCCGGGTTCTGTCGGGATAAGTACGTAGACCGTACAGTTATGGGGTGGCTTGTGGTTTCAGTCCTTAGCGAGTATAAATAAATCCACTAGCGTATGAGAGTAGTATACATAAAATACGGCTATTAAAATTTTTTACTCTTATTAGAATATAATGCAAATACATACATATCTATGTATGTATAAATACTTGAAATAAGTAGAAGAAACCATGTGTACATAAATATATTACGGGAACTACTGTAAATAATGGTTTTTGAGCATTTGTCCCAAAAGGTCTCACCATGACAGCTACCTTCTCAATACAGATGCAAATAAATAATACGTCAATGAAGTGAATGCTGTTGATTGGTACAATCTGTACAAATGTACATACAGATATGTATTTTAAATACGATTCATGTGTATAAAAAACAGGTAATCATGCGGATATGTATGCATGCATGCGAGAACAATAAATACTTGCAAAAGAGAAACCGATTAACTTGTGACTTTATGTCATCTAAGCCCGACAAATGTACATACATACATATGTGGTCGTTTTTGCGCCATTTTTCTGATTCGTTTGTATCTCAATCTCTCCAATTCAAGCATATACAAATGTATGGTATAGATTGTATTACTTGTACACAAATAGTGATACAAAATATGCGGATGGTTGTCGGGAAGTGTGTGGATAGGATGGATATGAGTATATGTAGATAGTATGCCTACAAATGTGTGTATTTGGAGATACTATGACATTGGTGAAGTGAAACCAAAGGCCAAAAGTATTGTATATGTATACATTTACGTTTTCCCCTTGAAGTGGGTGAGTGCAAAGCTAAACTCGAGTCTGCGTTGTTAATGCTTAATGAAGAGAATTTTCGTACGGCTACGGCATTGTAATCACGTACGCGTATTGGTCGCATTTATCATTAAATGAGAATTGTGATTTTGCTCGGCGGTACGTTATTTCGTTATTTCGTTGTTTCGGTTTTTGTTATGTTTACCATTTTCGTTTCTTTATCTTGCATGCCTAGGAAGAGAGAGAGCGAGCACAAACTCGCAATGAACAGCTGCTTATCAATTTCATTTGTTATTTTATTCTCTGGTGTAAGCATAAAATAAAACTTGTTAAATGCGAATGCGAAAAAGTAGAAAAGAAGAGGTAGTGTTTCGTGCCTCTTCACACACGTTTCTGTAATTCTTTACCGTCCCCGAAAATTCGTATATGATACATAAAATTGAGTTGGTCGCGTATTTTCCTAATTTTCTTTTGACAAATATGCCAGCTCAACTATACACAAGTAACAACAAAGTACTAATTACATATGTGTTTAAATGTGTTCATCTTTTAATCACTTACTCAAAAAATATTTTGTCTTGATAGTAAATAAGCCACTTTCAGTTCTTAGCATACGTAATAAATTTGACTTCAATTCAGTTGTAAGTATGGTATATATAGTGAATTCATTGGAGTATTTCGTTGTTTCCGGATATTCGCATGCATCTACCTGGTCGTCACATACTGTATGTGTAATGTTCATTTACATTCTCTGGTGTGAGTGCGCGCGTTTCTTTTCTTCTTTTTCACGCGTTTCGTATTCACACATTCCTCTTTGTACGATTTTTCGAATTTTTGTGTATTTCATTTTCTTGGGTCTGCAACTGCCGCAACAGTCTGAAACGGCGGTAGTAAAGTGGAGAGTTATTGGACGGACAACAGTGTCGAAGCAAAAGTGAACTTGCTTATAGATGGCAATATACGAGTAGTTTTTGAAATTCAGTTTTTCTTAGTAGTTGTGGTGTTCGGATGTGAATTTTTTGTTCGGTATAAAAGAATTACTATTAATTTTTGCTTGAAGTGATAATTACATCAATACCATAAAAACAGCATACAATTTCTCAAAAATATTTAATTTAAGTAATATGGTACGTAGTTTATATGTGAAGTATTATATGCATATATGTGGAAATTAGGGAAAAACCAATTTTTGTCATGACATTTCACAATTGTGCATTAATAAATATTTAAATAAAAGTATGTGTACATATGGTATATAATACAAGACGGTACGTGTCGCGATATTTTCATATCAAAGCGTACATATATTTAAATATGCATATATGTATATATATTTTACACATATGTAGATACTCGAAATTTTTTGCGGTGAAATTCATATTACATCAATTTGTTCATACTAACCCTGTTGGGTTCTTATTTTTTCTTCTGCTGATATTCGTAAGTTTACATACGTAAGTATGCATTCATGAATGTATGTACAGAAAACCAGCTTTTCGTTTTTCAACCATGGTAACTTGCCAATCTTGTGTTGAACCGTTTTTCATTTCTTGTATTACCACCTTTTCATGTATTGTGTATGCATTGGGGCTAATTTTAAACATCTTAACTTAAGAACTGACGATTACAGCAAGAGACAAGTGGTACAAGAGAAAAGTTACCCAAAATACTCAATTTAATGACAGCTCCGGTGTGTATACATAGCAAAGCGAAAAGACAAGAGAATGTAGCAAACACTGTCAGTGCTCAACTACGATTTAATCTAGTGCACGCATGTGTGTGTAAATGTTAATTTACTTGCGAACTATTTCGAGAATAGAAATATATATGTATATATGTTTTTCATGTATATAAGCATTGCAAAAACGCTAAATTTGAAATTATTAAATTGTTAGCGGAGCCTGGTCGTTTGATTGTGCGGCTTATTGTCGATAGTAGTCGGTAGAATTCTAGTAATAGAAATTATCAGAATCCCTGAAGTCAGTTGTGAAAAATACTAAAGTGATTTGGTGATCAAAATGCTATATTCATAGCTGTATTAGAATGCTTTATTAACTAGTGTACATAAAGTTATTCACAATTTGTATAGAGTGTTTTAAAAGAGCAAAAGAGACAAATAGCTCAACAGTTTGGAAAGGAGACGTGAAAAGAAAAGAAATAATTGGAAGAGAGAGATAAAAGCTTGATTGCGTCAACGCTTTTTGCAAATTGTGCTCAAGTTTACACCTTGACGACAAACGACACAAATCAAAACAAAGTTGCGATTTCATATTCAAATTTAAAAGCGAATGACAACTAAGCGATACTTTTTTTTTTTTTTGTTTTGTTTTACAATTAGTGTAGAGCACTTTCATGTCAGTAACCTGTAAGCAAAAACTTACATTTATACCTTTACGTTTGTTAAACACAGGTTTCTTTTGTTTACACTTGTTCACGTTTTTTGCATTATGCACTAACAATAAGTCAAGAATGCCCTCGTTACTATTTATCCTAACATTTTGATCAAATTAATTTTGAGAAGTTTGCATTAAATCAAGTTTATTATTGAGAGGGATAACATACTTGTTTTGCTACCCGTGTTTTTTTTTTAAGTTATTAAAAAATTTTAGTGATCAGTTATAGAGAGTTAAAAAATATATTCTAAATTAGTACGTTTGTGTTCTGCGTTTTGTTGGATTCTAAATATAAGACAATGCTATTATATATCAAATTTATTTTTCAGTTAATAAATTTACCGAAAAGATGTAACTCAATGATATCGAAAACATCACAAAATCAACTTGAAAATCATATCGGATTTCCGGAAAATAAAATAAGAAAGTTCAATAAAACCGAAGAAAGATATTAAGAGTCTTAAGTGGATTAAGACAAAGAAATCGGAAAGTACATAATAAAATGTTCTCGTTTCATAAACCACGAGTTTATCGCTCGGCTGAAGGATGTTGCATTTGTCGTGCAAAGTCGAGTAGTTCACGTTTTACTGACTCACGTAAATACGAACAGGACTCAATGAAATGTTTCAATTTGAAATATCCTCGTCATGGAGAGATTTGCAATGCATGTGTTTTGCTGGTGAAACGTTATAAACGGCTTCCAGGGGGCAGCACCCGACATTGGGGACATGTATGTTTAATATTCATAACTAAAAATTACATTTTTTTTTGGTTAATTAGTAAATGTAATTGTTTATTTAATATTAATTATTATAGGTGGTTGATGCTCGTGCGGGACCCGGAACGAAATCAATTTCAAAACACAAAAAGAGTCGAGATGATTCAGAAACTACAGCTCATAGTGCTTCAAGTAATAATACAAATACTCGCCGGGCACCAAATTCAAAGTCACTCATTCCTGAAAAATTTTCCAAAATATTTAAAAAGAGTAAAAAAAGTAAAATAGGCGCCGGTGCCTGTCCCGAAAGGAAAGCCGATGAATGTAGACGATCTTCTGTCGCTGAGTTAAAAACATGGAATGACCAACATTTGTTTTCTGCAACACTAGATTCAATGGATAGCGACTATGAAGATATGGGCGAGGGCGGAGAAGTTTACGAGTCGAAACGAGGAAACGTAAATGTAAATAATTCAACTGTGCAATTTCAAACACAAACGCGTGCATCTGCAAACCGTGCCACCCGAAGGGCTACCAATATTAGTAATGTCTCCAACAATTATTGTAAGAGTCCACTAAAAACAGGAAGCAAACGACGTAAATGTATGCTTCCTATTCGAAATCGGTCCACATTAAAACTTGTCAATGACAAAGCACAATTCTTTGATGAGACGGAATGGCAAGAACGTAAAACTTGCTGTGGCATGATGTATTTATGTCCATCGTTAGCTGGAGCAATACTACTCGACATTGACAAATTTGAAGTCTGCACAGAACATAAGCGCTTGCCAATTTCGCGTACTGAGACGACGTCATCGGCCGATGAGGAACTATCATCTACTTCGCAAAAGACAATCATTGCTACAATGCCAGCCGTAGTTAAAATATCTGCGCCATCGGTGGCTAGTGTTTGCCCACCACCTTTGCCCAATCCAGTGAATGCAATGAGAATCAATCATACACCAGTATTGAAGAAGCATCATTTGTTCTTCAAACGACAGTCAGAAAGTTTTCCTCAAGTGGATCTCGCTGTTAATAATAATATTATAAATTCCTCAAATAAGACTGAATCTCTGGCAGTATCAACAACCACTCCCGTTATAATTACAAACAGCACAAATATTGCAAATCACAGCGGTAGTGTTGAACCACAGTTATCAGCAATATCGATTGGAAGCAACTCAAATATCGTCGTTTCCACACCATTACCACTTGCAATAAATACCACAAATATATCTGCCATATCGAGCATATCTCCTCCCAGTGTAACATCTGTGGGTGCGCAAATGCCGCGACATTCTACCGCCAAGGTTACTACAATTTCACCACCCTTACCAACAACAAATATAATTGGTGGCAATAGGCTTTTACATAAAATAAAAGCTGGAAAAATTTTCAAGCATTCTTTGGAAAAAATCGGTGTCACGTCCACAGCCTCATCAGTCTCCTCATCGACTGTGGAGCGTATTAAAGCAGGCGATTTTCAAGATATAAAACCAGTAATGCGAAACGTAACAAAATCATATGTGGTCTCAAAGCCATTAACGGGCGGGTCCAGTCAGCAGAGTACGCAATACTATCCCGTCGGTTCGTCACCAACATCCACATGCTCCAATTCTTCGGCTACTTCTTCCTCATCATCCTCGACTGCACCAAAGTTTAGTGACAATTCCTCAGATTCTGGTTTCGACGAAAATTTGCAGGAAAGAAAATCGGCAAGTCCTCTGGTAAGTTCCATTTCGCATATTACATAAAGTTTTCCATTAAGTCATATATGTATGTATGTATGTATATACTATTACTGTATCATACGAATTGTCAAAATGACTATTAAAATATGTGTTTAGCAGGAGGATACAGAGAAAAAACTGGCAGCTCGTGCAGCAATAGGCAATGTGCATACGATGTTTTTGGCAAGTGGCGTCCAGATACATGGTCAACCTCAAAATTTAATGCTTACTGGCAATGAGGTAGCTGCAAAATTATTACAGAATCGCAAACAACAAATGGCTATGATGGCAACTTCCAGTGTTGGTGCAATGCAGCAACACTTTCAACAACAACCATCAGCAACTAATGTATGTATTAACTATTTGGTGTTGGACAAAATCAAATAACTTAAAATTAATATTTCTTTAAGGTCTCACGTATTGGTTCGGCTACACCATCCTTAAAAATCGCTCCAGTCACCCCCGCTACAATATCTAGCATAGCAGTGGGACATGCGGCTGGTAGTAATTCTCACAGCAAGGCGACCTCAGCGACACTAACTACAACTCGTGCAATCTACAATAACAATACCATACAACATGAAAACGGTGTGACAACAATTGTGCCGGCATCCTCGTTAGCTGCATCCACACAAACCGCAGCTATGAATGCACTGGCTCCTAGTACCGTTACAATAACACCTGCACCGACGCATCAATTAGGAAATACAGCATCTAGTGCGTCGTTGGGTTTAACAAAAAAACTGACAACAAGTGGGGTTGGAGTGAATTTAATAGCAACCGGTGGCAGCAGTCAAAGCAATATTCTACACACAGTAACAAACGCTACTTCACATTTGATCAATCATGGCAATAGCACAATGCTACACCAACAAGCACACCATCTACAACAGCAGCAACCACTTCAACATCACAACACGGCGGCGAGCAATTTGAATCAGAAAATTATTCTACTGAAGACATCAGGCCCAACCAAGTACAATAATTTGGCGAATATCAGCAGCAGCAGTCTTAATAGCGTTAAGCTGCCAAACGGCGGAACACCAATAGCCGCGTCGCCCGTGAATACCGGTGGTGTTTGCAAGAATTGACCAAGCGGCAGTCGACAGAAAATCACGCGCTAGTGCTTTACTCAGCTCCCACTTCTACATTTATAAACAATAGTCGGTGTGGGATAGAAATATTGAGTTGCAATGATTGTTTATTCGCATCTTGCGTCCTATTTACGTTCTTTGAACGTGTACCTTTACTGTTTAATTGCTTCGTCACGTTGGTGCTGAGCAATTATAAGTTGCCATTTGTGTAGCACATAGAAAATACTCGTAAAAAAGCTATATTTTTTAAAGAGAATTAAAATCCTAAATAATCGGAGAAATAATCTGGTTCCAAATTTGATTTCTGTAATTGCAGCGATAACTTCACCAGCTTTGAGAGCTTTTATATATTTTTAGATTTGTATTTTATGCACATATTGCCATTTCAAACATGCTTAGTTTTATTCAAACCGTTTTTTTACCTAATTATAAATACACAATTTCATTACAAAATGCACACACCCATACAGGTGCACCCCCTCACCCTTAAAGAGTTTATAAGCATATGAAATATATTAAGTGAAGTTTACGGTGATCATATTTAAAAAAGATTAAATACGCCCCTGCGCTGTTTATTGTATTTTGTAAATTTTTACTTTTTTTTTCTTTTGTATATATTTAATATACGAGTAGTATATAATATGTGAGCTATTTTAAAGAATTTCTAATTAATTTAAATTTTGTTGAAAAATTTGATTTATTTGTACATATATGTATGCAAGTAGTTTTTTATATTTATAAATGATATCCACTCCTAAAATTAACTTTAAGTATCGAATAAAATTGGAGAAGCAACACCAAAAGTTCTTACCATTAAATCGTTTTACTGTTCTAAACGGGGAAATTCTTTATATATATACATAAATAGTATTTACTAAATTATTGAATAAGAAATCATTTAAATATAATAAACAAAACACACATACATATATGCTTGAAAAAATATGTAAAAATTGCATTTCATCAATTTCGGATAGATCAGTTATCCATAGCAGCAAATTAGTTAAATACTATATATATAATAAACATAGCGGTAAAATTTGCAAAATACTTTGAAAGAAACTCAAATGCAAGTTCAATCAAACTCGAGCGTTCGAGTGTAGCCACAAGATAAAATCGTAAATAATACGATAATTCCATATTGTAGTCGTGCTAGTATAATGTTTCCGTAGCCTTTGGAGCATCCATAATTGGTATTTAATCAATAATTGTTGGACTATGATAGATAAGCAAACTAAGCATAAACATAAGCAATGATTTTCCAAATAAAGATAAGTGAATAATAAAAATACTGAATGAAATAGTTGAATTATATATGTCTTAAATTCGTACAAACGTATGTGGATCCTAGTTCAATTGCCAAAAAGTGAAAAATACAATTATTTTATTAGAAGTGAATAATCACGGTTTACACAAACTCGAATGCACTTAGCAGGGAGAACAAATTGGATTTATAATAATTGGAAATTTATAAACATATATCCGGTTTTTGTGCATACTGTGGTATGCGTCATGCATATTTTTAAATGCTTTATTCTTCTGAAACCCCACAGAAAATACAGTGATTTGTAGAGTGCTACTTGAAGATCGCAATTTTAGCCATTGGAAATCTAAAACTAATATAATCACGAATCAGATAAGTGAGAATTTTAACGATAATCAAGCATAGATATCTACAAATATTCTTCTAAATATATATAATTATATATAATATTATCGAAATGGAAATGCGAAATAACAAATACAAATATCCATACATATACACATCGCGCATAACCAATAACACACAATAAAGTAGCGGAATTAAATTTTTGTAGAGTCGTTAATCAAACAAGTAGTTGTTAAGCAATATTTTGGTGTTTTAATCGACATTCGGACAATATGCAATTAAATAAAAAAAAGTTCGAGTACAACCAGTAATGGGAGTACAAAAAATAACGATACTAAGTTGAACAAGTTGAGCAAACACCTCTAACCTAGTAGACGAGTTTTATTACTCCTAAAGAAGTTAAGATGCAGAGTAATTTCCCTCAGATACGCATTTACCTTAACCTCCGCACTTATCACATACAATGGACCACCTGTATTGATGTTCTTGACATTATTTTTATACACAATAATTGAAGTATTGATACTCTTAATATTTGAATAAGGCGACTGACATTAAATCGCCTATTTAATTGCTATGAAATATTTTAATTTTCTCATTAAGACTAAAATTGTTAATAAGAATTGCGCAATAGAGATCTTTTATAAATTTTTTATTGTATTTTAAGAGTAACATATTATATTTGGCAGTATGCCGATATTCATATTTGAAATAATACTATTTTTAAATGACATTTAATGTTTGTATGTATTATGATTTTTGTACACAAATTGAAGCGAGAAATTAAAATGAAAAATTGTATATTAAAACATCCACAAATGTGTATTTGATATCTTAGCACTTATTCAAGGATGTGAATATTGCCATAATCAAGGGGTAAACATTCTAAATATTCGTCAAAATAATATTACAATGCTTTTTGCTCACATTAACTGAAGATCTTATACATTATATTCGATTGCTTTAGAAGTTACTATTAAATGCGATTATTTTTTGGGATAAGTACTATGTTGGGCTAAAGGTTTCGCATAGTTTCGGCTCGATGTTTTCATATAATAGACAAAGAGCATCATTATTCTTCGTGCTTGCGCTTTTTATTTTTTATTACTTTCGTTATGGCTTTGGGGAGGTCTGTACTCTGCTTCCGTTTCTGTTGCATTTTAAAGGTTTTTAATTTTGCATTGTATTCTTTTTCCAACTCTTTGACCGTATGTGCCGGTATAGTCCACTCAGAGTTTTGGGCAGTTGATGCCCTGGTGGGATCTTCTGAAGCATTGTAAGATGGTATCTCGATGCCTAAACGTTTACATATTTTCTCCAAAACGTCATCTACATAGGTAGATATTATTAAATCAGCCTTTTTATCCTAAAATTAACTTTTTAATTATATAAGGAAGCAAACGAATACGTTTCATATATATACGCACATGTTTAGTAGGTTGAAGGTTGCATATAATAACTTTACCACCGTATTTCTTATTATTCAACGGCAAGTTCCCACTTGGTATGATTTGTAGAGTTGTGCCCAGTGCTATATTTACATCGGCTAGCCTTTCAAGACAGAGATAAATATGTAGTTAGTGTGTATTTTTATGCTTTTAACTAATATCTTACATGGAATGCATGAAAGCCATATCTAAGTCGCGCTCTGGAAGATCAGCTTCCCAGTCAAGAACATTATCTACAAGCAAGCCACCACGGCATGAACGGGCTTGTCCAAATTCACCTGATCGACATACCCCACCACATGGTTTCTGGCCTACTGTTTTCGCTGTAGTCGACCGTACGAACTGTCGCCTACATTTGTTACATTGCTCTATGAACATATTGCCATGAAGTTCGGCTAAGTTCTGGCGTGACAAGCCCGACTTCAAATGAAGTCCATCGATATTTTGGCTAATCACAAACCTCACAAAACCCTGTTCGGACAATGATTTCAACGCCATATGGGTTTTTGTTGGTATGGCATCTTCAAAGGATACATTTATTTTAGGTTTTTCACCCTTTTCTTCTAAAGTCCATACCCCTTTTGGGCCACTGCAAAAACGTAGTGTTGAATTGCAAATAATAAATAAGAAAATTTTTTCACCTCTTACCGAAAATCGGGTATACCAGCACTGGTGCTTATGCCTGCTCCTGTGTGCACCACTACACGCCCTCTCGCAGCTAGAATCCAGTCCACCAATTCTTCACATTTTGTCTCCACCGATTCTGCACTATCGAATTCCTACTTCAATTAATGACAATTTGGTTAATGTATTTTTTTGCAATTCAGACTTACCTCCGGTATACCCAAAATTCCTTTATTACCATACGGTGACAGGTTATCCGCATAATTGCAGCTCATACTTTAATATATACAAAAAAGTAAAAGGAAGATGCTCAGATGTAATAACACAAAGTAAAGCAAATGCTTTTTAATAACGAATGTGTGTAAAGGGGCATCAGAAAGAAGAGAATTTAAAGGGTTGCCAATTTTCTTTCATTTAGCCATATTTGCATGTAACCAAATGACGTTAGCAAAATAAAAATGGCAAATGAATGCGAAAGAGCGATGTAAACAAACAATGTGAATCAGAAATGATAAATAGAATAATGGAAAAGCAAACACTAAAAAATAAAGTTTTTTGCATGTAGTGTGTGAAAGTAATAAGAATACGTATTTGCAAGAAACTGACAAGGAAAGCGATAAAAACAAAGAAAAAATGGAATACAACTTAGCAATTTCTGGGTCTGGGGAAAGAAAAACGTACAGCAAAATATTTGGAAAATATACCGCGATGTGCTAAGAGCAGGTCAATTGCTGCGTTAAGTGACAAAACAATGAAATATTTAGGCATATTTCAATTACATCTGTGTTTTTCTAATTAAAATTCTTATAGAAATGTACAATGTGAAAATTAATAATAACCTTGACAAGAATTTGCTGTAATAATCGCGGACGTTTGAACTATCAAATTTTTATAAACAACGGATTTCTTGAAATTTCGGGAGGGTGAAAATTAAATTTCGAGTGTAATAATTTATAAAAAATTTATTACCAAACATTAGTTAAATTGTTTAAAGGTAAAATAATTTAAAAATAGTTTAGGACGTTCAAAATTGTAAGTATGTGGGTTAATTTTTACCCGGGTGAATACATCTAAGTATTAAGAAGGCAGGAAGCTATTTCACATTTTTGTTGCTAATTGTTAAAAGGTACACATATGTACATATGTATATAATAATATTGCATATATTATTTGCTTTCTTTTCTTCATTTAATTTTAAAACAGATTATAGATATATATATATATATATAAATATATGCTTATATGCATGCATAAATATGTATGGTTATAGAAGCATTGTAAATCAAGAACATTTAGTATAGACAATACCTAGAAACGTTTAGTTGTTGTTGTTGTTGTTATAACGAATGTAAAGATTCATCACGTATAATGAATACTGAAGAACTTCCTTTTTTGCAAGATAAGGCCTTGTAAATTCATTTGTGACATTTGTGTATATTATGTAGAGCATTTTTTGAATTATGTTGTCATCTACAATCAAGGAACTTTGTTTTATTGATTTTATTTTATTGTTTTATTTAAATTTTCGAATTAGACGAATTATTAAAGTTGTTTGATCACAAAGTATAATTTAAAAGTTACAATTTTCCGTGGCAATGTCAAAATATGGATTAAATAAGCAACGCTTGAAATAATAACAATTAAATTAAACTTGTGTAATTCTAAGCAAACAGTTTTCCCAAACGAATGTGAGCGTATACATATGTATGAATATATATGTATATAGAAATATGCAACATTTGATTATCTTATTTCTTCAATTTCTATAACATATGTGCATATATACGGATATATATTCCTAGTCACAGTTTTTGTTTATAGCAAAAGATAAGATTTAGTTTAGATTGCTCGTAACGTTATTTGCACCTTATTTGAAAAGTTCGAATATAACTTAAGAATTTACTTATATACTTATGTATATTAAGTAGGCTATAGGCTATAGGCACAATAAAAGTTGGTAAAGTAAGACGAAAGGATACTTTTAATAATCCTCTAAATTAGCGCTTGTTTCTATTACTTGTAGGCTATTTACAGCCCGTCTCTTTCTCCAAAAAGTGCCTATATGCACTAAAACATAATCGCAGGTGAATTTGGTGACGCTACATAGAATGTCTCGCGAACGGTTCAGCAAGGACAGCGTCTTTAGAAGTGTTTATAATAATCAAAGTTTGAATTCCACACGAACTGCCACTCATAATTACATTGCGAGTACCAAAGGTAAAATATATTAATAATTAATATTCTTTTCTAAGTTTCCTACAATTATTTAACCTTACAGACTCGCTGGACTATGTGCAGCGTTTGGGTTTGATGAGCCGTTTGCATGTGCACTCTGGCTGTGTGAACACTGTTAGTTGGAGCAACACGGGTGAATATTTGTTGTCGGGTAGCGATGACCAGTGCATTGCTATAACGAACCCGCACAGTCAAGAGGTACTGTTGAAATATAAAACGGCTCATAGGGCAAATATTTTTAGTGCGCGGTTTATGCCACGGTCGAATGGTCATTCGATAGTATCGTGTTCTGGTGATGGCATTGTACTGCATACCGAGCTATTAGCTCCATATGTACGTCGGCAGCCCACACCATTATTTAATAATATAAACACTGTGATACCCGGCGCTGATTCTACTAGAGAGAATGCTCCTTTGCAGCCCGTATATGAACATAGTGAGAATGAGGCTAAATTGAGTTTTTTTAATTGTCACAAAAGTGGTACAACATATGAAGTACTAACCATACCTTCAGAGCCAAAGTCATTTCTGAGCTGCGGGGAGGATGGTACGGTTCGTCTATTCGATTTACGGCAAATATCGAGTTGCCATAAGACATGCTGCAAAGATAATATACTTATATTCAGCCCCTCAGCGGTTAATGCCATGGATCTGTCGCCCATCAGTAACTACTATGTGGCAGTGGGCAGTTCCGATGCTATTGTACGAGTCTATGACCGACGTTACCTGTCGATTATTGACTTTAGCGATAGCTCCATACCCACCACTGAGCGACATACTAAACCGATTAAAGCCTATCCAATTCCTATGATGACGAATCGACAATATCGCATTACTTGCGTTAGATACAGCCCCGAAGAGTCTGAACTACTGGTGAGTTATTCGTCCGAGTATTTGTATCTATTTGATCTGCGTCGCGACGGTGTAGACGTAAATGAGCTGTACGAAAAGGGCCGTACAGTTGATGTCAACAGATCATCTCCTCCTCCTACTTTAACGGCCGAACAAGTTACGCGAAGATTACGCTTGCGTGGTGATTGGTCCGACACCGGACCCGACGCGCGTCCCGAAAACTACCCAAGAGGCCGGGTGGAAATTGGGCAGGTGCGTCCCCAGTTGCAAGCGAATATAATGAGTCGCATGACAGAGGTTATATCCCGTATGCTTAACGATCCACGAACACGAATGGGCCTTTCAGGTCAGGCACAAGAGCTTAATCGTGAAAATCAAGCGACGCTCTTGGCTGCAGTGGCAAGGGAGACGTCAGACGGTACAAATAAGAGAACTGAAATAATATTATATTTATGCCTAAAATAACATTATTTTTCTTTTGTTTCTTTAGACTCCACACCATCCACTTCAGGCGCTTATTGGCGTAGAGTTGCTAGCCGTTTGCACAACTCTCGTACTATTAACTTAAATAATTCAATGCCTCAAACGGAGGTGATTTCGACTCAACCGATATCTACAACGGCTGTAGTCGATAATATTAGTCGACCTCCAGAAGAAAATACCATGGAAGCACCAGCGGAACCGACAACTACGTCCATTCCCGATACGCCCAATATTAGCAGTGCTGGCCAGCAGGGCATACAGTTTCGTGACGATGAAGCGGATACCTTGAACGAAGAACTTGCGGAACTCGACAAGCGGCTTTTCGATTATCTGCGTATGAAATTTGTTGGCCACAGAAATGCTCGTACCATGATCAAGGAGGCAAACTTTTGGGGTAATAACTATGTGATGTCGGGATCGGATTGCGGACATATATTTACATGGGACCGACGTACCGGGAAACTAGTCATGTTAATGCAAGGTGATCAACATGTTGTGAACTGCTTACAACCTCATCCTGAGCTGCCTTATTTAGCGAGCTCGGGCATAGATTACGATGTTAAAATATGGGCTCCCACTTTGGAGCATGCTAATTTCGATGAGGCGGCAGCTGAAGATGTACGTATATAAAATTAATTAGAGTTACTGTAAAATAATTTCGTATAATTTTATTTAAAAAAAAATAACTTTTGTTAGCTCATGAAACGTAATGCAATAATGTTGGAGCAAACAAAAGATACTATCACAGTACCAGCCGCTTTTATGATACGCCTGTTGGCCTGTATTCACTCTCTGCGAAATCGCGAACGTATTCTTAACCCTGAAGTGAGCGTTAATCCATCCAACCAAACAGAAAATATAAACAATAACAACAATAGCAGCGCAACAAATGTGCCTGAGAGTTCTAATTTGAATGCAGATGGTGGTGAAGCTTCAGAGGAGACTAACAATGACGAATAAGCAAAGAGTATGGAAAAGTTCATGACTAATATACATTGAAATAAAATACGTTTATCAGATGGCATAATCTCAAACTAATTTTGGTCTACAGTGTATTCATTACAAGTATGAAAAATTTAGAATTTCATACTAAAATAAAGCAATGCATAAAAAGAAAACGAAACGGTTAACACCAAAAAGTCAAAACACTGTCAGAATCACTTTAGCTTAGGTAAAGCTCATTTGAATAGTACCATTTACTTTTGAAGAGTATATACTTTTTAAATAAAAATCGATCTTCCCTTCTCCAATATAGTGTGTATGTATTGTATTGACATAAATATATTAAATACGAAGTGGCTTATAGCATACTTCCAATCACTTAAACATTAACTGCGTTTTGTAGAGCAGTCTTATCATCGACTATTATATTAGCTGCTGTATTCGCTGGATTCGAGCTTAGCAGCTGCTTTGTTGACGAACTCGACGAATAGCTGTCACTAGAGCTGCGTGTAGATGCCGTATTCACGCTTATCGGATTATCTAACATGTCTGCGTAAAAAAAGCAATTATGTGGATCATTAAAATAAAGATATATGGGAATGCCTGCAATGGAATACCTGGTAGAGAGCTCACATTGCCTTTCATATCGCCTGCTATAGTACAAGGTATGCCAGAGTTGGCTGTGGTGTTGCCTGGACCAACTATGTTACCAACTGACGTTGATTTTTTATGAAGATTTTTTTTGGCTAAGCTGCTGGTGCCTTTAAAACTCCCTGCGTTTCCTTTTAGACTACCCAACTTGTCTCCACTTTTTGGTCGTTCGCGATCTCTATCAGGACATAAGGGACTTAAAATGGAGTTCTGTGTGTCTTCAGGTG